GAAGTAACTTTTAATTTTTTTTAACATGTCAAAATAACAAACAACTGGAACCTTTCCTTGCCATACTCGAAACACCTGAAATTCCACTGATGTTCGAGGCCTCAAAACTTGGTGATGAAGATAAAAGATGTAACCTGCTCCCAACCCCAAATTAATATTCATCCAGTCCCTTATACAGCTGAGTAGAGGAAACGTTTTTCCTTCACCTTCCTCCTGATGCCTCCCATTTTGCAGGTTGAGAAGGAAAAGATTCACGACCACGAGCGCGCCTACGCCTATGAGCACCTCAACCTGCTGCTGCACTACATTATGGGCATGAAAGTGAGCATGGAGGGCCTACAGCCCCAGGGACTGGAACTAGCCGGACACAAACTGGTGGAACTCCAACAATCCCTCAGGGAACTCGAGGCCAGAGTCTCCCAGCTCAGCACCACCTCCTCTGGGCCTCCCGTGCAGGGAGCCGCCGCCTCCTCCTCATCCTCCAGCTCCGGCCCTCCCGGTCCACCCACCTCGGCTCCTCTCCCTCCACCTCCCACCCTGGCTCCCACTCTCTCTGTGTCTACCTCCTTCACGCCTCTGCCCAGCTCGGTGGGAGCAGCGCTGGAGCTTCAGCTCCACAGCGAGAAGACCAAGGTGGCCGAACTGGGCCGCAGGTGCACCGAACTCGAGGTGAAATCCGGCACGTTTGAAAATGTGGTGTGTGTCCTGAACAGAGAGGTGGAGCGGTTCGCCACCACCATGGAAGCCAGCAATCGTCAGCATAAACTGGACCAGGACAAGATCGAGGCCCTCAGTAATAAGGTACAAGAATAAACAATCACTGAGGTGATTCTCCTCCTGCTCTGAGTCATGTCTCAGTCAATCTGAACACACAGACATGATACACATATTTCTAGATTCTTCAGGACATTGTATAATAATCAGCTCCAATACAGCTCCATCAATCTACAAAAAAAGAATTATTCAGTATCATAGTAATGGGAGAAAAACACATATTTACAAGTTTATTATTCTCTGAGATTATCAAATCATAAATTCGTGAGAAAAAAAAAACAGAGATTAAATTCATAAATTTACCAAAGAAATATGAGAAATAGATTCACTTTGCAAGGCTGAATCAACTTCATCACAACACGCAGCGTCGTTTGCTGTGTATCTTCTCTGCAGTGGAAAAAATTAAACATTATATTGTTTATTTGAAATTACATTAAGCAATTAGAAAATACTTGTGATGTTCTAATAACTTAGGGAGTTCCTTCTCAAAAATGTACAACTTTAATGTCAGAGAATATTCAAGTTTTATTTTTTGTTCATTTAGCACTGTAATCCCAAAAAAGATTTTAATATTTACCATTTTAAACTCAGACGATATCCCATTTCCCCACTAAATGTATAACTTTAATCCTCATATGCTGTTGTAGACTATTACAGTTCAGTTACTTCTGGCTAATATTAAATAAACCACGTGTGTGTTTATTTTCCAGGTGCGGCAGCTGGAGAGGACGGTGGGGCTGAAGGACCTGACGGTGGCTGAGATGGAGGGCCGGCTGAGGGAAATGTCCGCCACCACCTTTGACGGCGTGTTTGTCTGGAGGATCTCAGATTTCGCCAAAAAGAGACAAGATGCCATCGCAGGCCGAGCCCCTGCCATGTTCTCACCAGGTAACATCGTCCAGTTGTCACACAGTAGACTTCTTCACAGGCTGTGGAAATTGTGGACACAGCTTCTAACTGTTTAATGAGATGGAAGACTGCAGTTTGCTTTGCTTTGTTTAAAACTATAGGGATCCAAGGAGGCGTTCACTCTGACTAGTTGTGTGTTAGCATTCACAAAAGACCACGAGAATGTTGTTGAATTTAGCCGTGTGGCAGGTGAGGACACCATATACCACCATATAAAATGGTATGCCAACACATGGAATCATACTGACAGTCACTGATTCACTTTAACGATATAATGATAATCGATTGATGACATGGTCAACATCGGTTAAGAAACAACTATTTCCTTAACTGGTAGTTTGTGTCACTGATGCAAATTTGAAGCATTTTCTTTACTACGGGCAGCTCTATGTTTAAAAACACAAAGAAGCATGGGAATGTCAATGTTTAAATCCAAACTGTTAAATGAGTTGTTTTTATGGGGGGTTAGCTACCAAAGGACCACCATGACAGACACTTGTGTCATTTAATGGCCTCTGGTTAGTGTTCTCAGACCGTTACAAGACCTTGTGAACCAGTACAGTATTTCTGCGGCTGCATGGTTGACAAAGTTGAGCCGCTCTGCAGTAAACATCCAGCGTCTGTGGTTACAGCTGACCTTATCGGCACATGGAAACTTTGTTTACTTTAACAAATATGAAGTACTGATTGTTTTTGTGGCAAACTGCTGGTTAAGAAAATAGTTTAGAGTTTGCATCCATATTCTTGTCGTTTTCTTTCCAGCCTTCTATACCAGCAAGTATGGCTATAAGATGTGTCTACGGATCTATCTGAATGGAGATGGGACGGGGCGTGGCAGCCACCTGTCCTTGTTCTTTGTGGTGATGAGGGGACTGAGTGACGCTCTGCTCAAATGGCCCTTCAACCAGAAGGTAAAAGATGTAGATAAACGGGGATATTCATTAAGGATTTTCAACCTCTTTTTAGGTAATGAACACACAACTTGTGTCCGTTTTTATTTAATGAAGTACCACAGCCAGATGTTGCATTACTGAAAATCACCTGTTTTGTCCTCATGCAGAAAAATATGCACGATCAAGTTATTTATCTGTAGCTCTACATCAAATACAACACAAGACAAAAAAACAGAGAAGAGCAACAACAACCACTTCTTTTTTTTAATTTATTTTTTTAAGAACACTTGTTGCACAGTATTATGTATTGTGTAATGTCATGTACTTTTTGTCTATATTGTCTCATATTTCTGAAAGGAACTTTTTTTCTCCTGGTTTTAAAATGTAATTAGCAAAGACTCATTGAGGGTAAGAATTATTTTAAAAAGAGTGTCCTGACCCAGACAGACATATAGATATAAAACTATTTAAATAAGGTTTGTGTGTGTGCAGGGCTCATGTGAGTTAGTCACAACATGTACATTGGAATGTTTCTGCCTCTAAGTTTGGTGAAGTTGCTATAAATAATTTAGTCAGATCTTCTCTTAAAGATTTGGGCAACTTTGTAACTCGCTCCAAACAAAGGTGGCAGCACACTCACATGGCATTTTTCCCAGTTCAGCACAGACTCTGGGAAAACATACCAGAAATACATCCTGGGACTTAAGACAACAACTTCCCAGGCTTTTTTGACAGATATAGATCAGCAGATATAAACAAAGCAAACCAAGAATATCTTCATAAATCAGAGCATTCCAGTGGACTGGTCTATGGCTGGACAAGGCAGACCATCTAACTCCAGTGTTTAAGTCTGCCATGAGGCTTAATGACCTCCAGTCAGTACATGTGTTCAATCAAGTTGGGATCAATAGGGCCAGTGTTTTTTATGTAACAGTGGCATATGTGATGTATTATATTCTGCAGCTTATTAGTGCATCCATCCATTATCTATACACCACTTAATCCTCACTAGGGTCGCAGGGGGCTGGAGTCTATCCCAGCTGACTTAGGGTGAAGGCAGGGGACACCCTGGACAGGTCACCAGTCTATCACAGGGCTACACTTAGAGACAGACAACCAAGCACACTCACATTCACACCTATGGACAATTTAGAATCACCAGTTAACCTCAGTATGTTTTTGGACTGTGTGTGCAAACTCCACACAGAAAGATCCCAGACGTCCTAACCGGGATGCGAACCAGGGAGCCTCTAGCTACGAGGCAACAGTGCTAACCATCAAGCAGCCCTGTCTTAGTGCATAACCAATAAAAATGTACCAAATGTATATTGATATTGCTGCACATATAAAGTAACTTATTCAATTTTACAACATGTGTGACAGCAAATAACAATCAGTTATAAATTGCACTTACTGGCCCCTAGCCTTATTAAAGGATTGGGCTTGATACATAACTTCTGCATTAATTTATTTATACTTCAGTCATTTTTCATCTTCCATTTAACATATGATGGCGTATTGCCATGAAATTTGAGCCACGTTCTATCTTTTTTCCCAAATGACTTGTTGTATTTATATTTTATTAAATATCATGAACCATTATTGCTCCAAACATGTAAACACAATCTCTTCTCTCTCCTCCCAGGTGACTCTGATGCTGCTGGACCAGAGCAACAGGGAGCACATCATCGATGCCTTTCGACCGGATGTCACCTCCTCCTCCTTCCAGAGGCCTGTCAGCGAGATGAACATCGCCAGCGGGTGCCCGCTCTTCTGCCCGCTCTCCAAGCTCGACGCCAAGAACTCTTACATCCGCGACGACACCATCTTCATCAAAGCGATTGTGGACCTCACCGGCCTCTAGGCGGCTCCGCGGGGTGGTGCAGTTTGGCAACCAGGCAGCTCTTTGACCATTAAGGCTTCATTCCGGCTCAATTGTGGTCCCTTTAGGGCTCTGCTCGGGCATCTCGCTGTCCCCTGCAGCTTTGGGGTGACAGACATGCTTGCGACTGTGTGCTGCATGTGGCCGCTCAGTCCAGACGGCGTCGGCTTTGTCATACCTGGTGGTGTGTGTGTGAGAACCGCCGTCATCGCTGTATATTTTGGGTGCAAAACCTTCTTTCTTTTGATATCACAACATCGCCCCTATGGTGATGCAATCAGTTCTGCACATAAGTTTTCAGTTAAAGGACACTGAAGCGAGCAGCAGTGCCGTGTGGTCAGTGCAGTGTTCAGCTGAAGCAGAGATGTTATGATGAAGAGTGAACAGTGTCTTTTTTTAAAAATCTCCCACCTTTGAAGGGTTGGGATGTTGCAGAACATGCAGACTGTGTTAGAGCAGGATTGTAGATTACAGATAGTTCATGTGATCATTCTGATAAAGCTGGCAGTAGACTTGTAATAGAGTTAGAACGTGGCTTGATGCTTCTTCTTGAAGATTGTGGATTTTGTGAGCTTCCAGTGTCGAGTGAATTTGCATAGACAAACGTGGAGTTATGTTATGAATAAGATTACAGGCATTCTTTCTTTTGGGTTTTTGAGCAAAATGCATGCCGCTGGCGTTTTAAGTATAAAATTGCTCCTTATTTCGACTGAGCTTCACGAAGGTTCCTCGTTTGTTGTTAAACTTGTTAGTGAATTAGCCATCCGTGATGGTGGACATTGCCTGCATGTCTTTGGAACCAGGCTATTTACATGTAAAGTTAGTGTTGCGTATTTGTTCCTATTAGGGGTCGGTGGTTCTGGTTGGTGGTTTGGTACATCTGTGGAAGATACAGTGGAGTTACCAAGGAGTCAGGGCAGCTTGCCAAGTCAAGCCTGAGGCATAAAACTTACACGTGTTTTTGTCTCTGACAAACATACATGGCTGGAGTTTTCCCCAGGATATGCTCACTAGCTCACATCTCAACACATAGTGCTGTGCCCCACCACAGATTGAGGTCAACACAGATTCCACGAAATGAAGGAATTGTTCGTTCCTTGTTTTCTGTCCATACAGTTTACAGTGCGTATGTGTTTCTGCTGCTATAAGATAGAATACTGATGTGAATCTAATATATATGTCGGTGCAAATATACAAATGTGTGTGGAGGTAGAGAGGCTGGAAACAAGAGATTGTAATACATTGTTGTAGGGCCATTGTTGACATTCTTTACTGCAGATTGATGTTCAGTGCAGCCCCAGATTAGTGTTGTAGTGTGCTCTCACAGATTTACAGCAAGGCACCACAAATCCAATTCAACTAAACTGAGATGTAATTTTTCTACCAGAGATTGCTGTTACTTAGCATGCATGCTGAGGTTTTAAGGTTCACGCTGGCCTGTTTGGAAACCAGTCTCGACCTGTATTGAAACCTCTCTGTGCATGGGAGGCTTCAATTCATATTCACTATGGAGTTTCGCACTGGTTTACCCCGTGAGCCGCGCGCGAAAGCATTTATTTGTATTTGTTTGGATGAAACTAATCGCAGAATAGTTATTATGTTATATCTGGCGCCGCGTCTGCTCGACAGTCGCGGCCGCCTATATTCATAGCAATTTATAAATATGTATCTTTCATATCATAATGTTGAAATAATCTATATATCAATGTTAATATACACAAGATATTATAATAAACATAGTATTACTGAATACCTTATTAATTCTATATCTATATACCAGCTTTTTGTTTGATGGTTTGAACAGGCCAGGACAACCCCATAGGATTCTTTCTAGAGTGCAATATATGATCAGACATCTCGGCTTTAAGGGTTCACAGAGGTCACACTCGACTCATTTGTTGCCATTTGTTTACATTGCTCATTATGGCGCCGAAGAACTGCGACCAATTTTGAACTCTCCAAGGAAATCCGGTGCTTTCCTTGTCATTTAACATGCGCTACATGGGAATCTCTAGTCAGTGGCTACTCATAACTGGCTGAGCGGGCTTTTAGAAGGACCATTTTAATGTGGAGGAGGTCTTGCTATATACAGTAAGTGGGTTTCTATTCTTAACTTTAAAACCTTTCAGTGAAGACTGAGCATGTAATAAGTGGGATTACATGAACTTTTTAAACCTTGAGTGTTTTTCTGTAACGTGCCAAAATCAAATATTACCTCCATATACTAACGTTGTGCAAGTTGTATTTTATGTTCTATGCTAAAATATGGTGCCAAATAAGTTTGTTTGTGTGGGAGTGTGTGTGTGTGTGTGTGTGCGCGCCATTTTAAAATGATGCATGGGGTCATTACTTGTTTGCGCACCAGAGGAGATCATTACGACTGTCCCGAGATGACAGAAGACCCTCCGGAGGTTTCTGAATGTAAGCTTTAATTCAGTTTTTTTTTTCTTTTCTTTTCTAAAAACACAACAGCAGTTCTGTCATGTGATGCAGTTGACTTGAAGCGACTTTATTTGTGCACTTTGTATTGTTGGTTTGTCCGAACAGGGTATTTCATTGAGTGATTTATGTACCTTGAAATCAGAGCCATATATATATTCTGATGTTGATAATTGATGTATTATGCTACGAAGAAAAAAAAAGAAAAAAAGAAGAAAAGGAAATGCAGTATGTAATAAAGTTTGTTGGTTTCAGTCTGAGTGAATCTTTAGTAGAAATGCACCCTAACAGTTGTGGGAGTTTCAATAAAAGTACCAATGTCCTGAATTCACATCCTGCTGAAGTGGAAACACAGAATATTTTTAGGTAAATATACATGAAGCATCAAAAGTAAAACATGCATTGTGCAGAAAAATGGCTTTTTGATTGACAACTTATTCAATTGTTCATGTTAATGCATCAGTACTATTGCTTAACTTGACAAACACACATACTTCTGGCCTAATTTTACCGATGTGTTGCATGTACCCAGTTTAATGTGAATTTTACTGTTACTTATTCACTCAAAGGAAAATATGGTCATTTGAACAAGCTCAAGTTGACGTGTACTTGACATTTAAAACTGCAATGTAAATTAAAAATCATTAATAGTTGAGAGGGAATGAAGAGAAACAGTCTGCAGCTATCATACATTTAGTCTGAATGCAAACTACACCCTGGCTTTCAGGGGACTTTTTTCCCCTTTTATGCTGTCAGAAAAAACACACACAATTTATAAACCACTTGGTTTTAGCCTTTATTTTTCCTTATTCCTGTTAAGAGGAATTAGAATGATTAGAATAAGAAAAGAGATGAAAGCAGAGCTGCAATTGTTTATGAGCCAATTAGCTGTTGGTCTGTTTAAAAAGTCCTCAAATGTCTTTTGTCCACAACCCAAAGACATTCAGTTTACTGTCACAAAGCAAGAAAGAAACCAGATCATATTCATATTTAAGAAGATAAAATCAGGGGATTTAAACTTATTTTCTTATAATATAATATAATATAATATAATATAATATAGTTTTAGCCACAGCAATCAGAATCATTCCAGGTGCTACCAGTAAAAAGTTTTTCCATTTCAGTACACACAGAAAAAAATATGTTTTTGATCCTCGTCTAAATTTTCTTGAAAAAAAAAGGTGCATAAAACAGCATTAGGTAATGGGAACTAAAACACACTCTGTGTCAATAAAAAAAAAACCCAAAAAACAAAAACTTGTATCATACTCATATTTCAAATTTGAACCCAATATCTGTAAAACTGATAATTTGACACCATTTTATATACTGGTATGTTCATGCGTTTCATAGAGGGACTTTAGTTTTTATCCACATCTATCCAAATTGGAGACCACTGAAAACGAATGGAAAAAGTCCAATATCTTTTGAATATTTGAAACTACAGACATCAATGAGGGCTCTATTGTATTCTATATTATGGTATTCTATCATACTGTTAATATTTTGAGGAACACACATGATGTTTTCAGGGGACATTTTGTCTCGTGTCAGGTAAGACAAAAGCAACGCTAATAACAAGTTTATACAATCTAATATCTTTAGCTCTTTGGTTTTAAAACTATTATCAAAATCAAATTTTGTGAGAAGTCTTGAGGTAAATTCTGTCTTTAGTGAACGTGCTAACAAACACCTGAAAGACTGGAAACTACTGTTTTAATCTTTAATGATGTCTGTGAATCTTATTTCCTTACCCTAAAAAAATGTATCTGTAAAATAAAAAATGTAGTTAAATAAGAAGTACAACACTCTTTTTGAAGTATCATTAGACAGAAGGTACAAAAGACCCCAAAATGTTCCTAAATACTTGGAAAACTGGACTCAGAGTCACTGTGCACCTTCCCTCACTAGAGGGCACTGTGTATCTCTTTGTGAATTTCCCTGCATGTAGTCACTCACTGAACTAAAATAAGACCCTGAACTGGAATCATTGTGCTGCTGCAGGAAGGGTCATTTAGATGCAATCTGCCTTTTCAGATAAATCTAATATCGGCCTTTCACTGCTGAGACTGAACTGTGGCATCTTCATGAAAGTAGGCACACAGAGCAGCTCGACCCTTCAAACAACACGCAGCATTGTGCACAGCTGGTAGCCGTCTGGATGCTGCATTTAGAAAGAAATATTAATTTGTTTCCTTCAGCGTCTGCGGTGCACAAAGACAGCGCTGTTGTGCTGCTTAGGACTTGTTGTACTGAACTTTTAGGGTAAAACAGGACAAATCTATTTCTCCTACAGTAGTCAGGTTTAATGTATATCACAAATGTCACCGTTATATTAAAGTTCGATCGCTTGTGTGAGTCACAGAGTGTAGAGGAAGTGTTCCGGTGTAACTATGGTTACCTTTGCAGGATGTGGTCGAGGACAGTCACTCACTTTCTTTGACTTCCTGCAGCCCTGTGCAGCTCAGAACTTTTCTTAGAAACACATTTATTTCATTTAGCGTAATTTAACACACACACACACACACACACACACACACACACACAGACATCTAGAAACAC